CATTAGTTCTGCCAGCACCGTCCATGCATTAGGCATGTTATCACACAATTTAGAAACTTATTGTAACAGAATAAAACCGCTCAAATATTGACACTCTTCTTTATCCAAGTGATGTAAAGATCTCTTAAATCTCAGGGAGTCAAAATATGTCTGATTTCCCACTACCACTCGTCAGAGAGAAACAGAAAATTAAAAATTTGAATAAATTAGAATCCATTTTCCCTCAAAGTAGCCCTAAACGTTATTTGAGCTCCCATAGTCGAACGCAAATGTTTAAGAGGAAACGAACGATGGCTTAAGCTTATCTGACGAGCTATTCCGCAACATTCAAAACTTTCAATTTTGATGAAATTTTTAAGGCAAAATTATGGCCAGTATGACATAATATAAAGCGCGAAAACAAGAAATCAACGGGTTGGATATTATCTCTTAAGTATCTCGCACCTCTGTAAGGAGAACTAAAGGTTAACAGATGATCAGAAATAGACATAGGCACCAAACCGATAATTCGGTCACCAAACGGTTCGCTACTGAACATGTTCGATGCAGATCAGCAAGCCCTAGCTTGGGATGGTTGCATGCCCTATCTGGACTAAAGGCAAATTGAACGAAATTGAAGCTTTTGAAGGAACTAACCAGTGAGAAAATAGATTAAGTAAAGCACAATGTGAGCGAATGTGCCTTCTACTGGATCGCTATCGAACGTGTCTGGACGAAGATTGTAAATACGATAGTTTATATTTTTCTCATCAGAGACATCGACAGGCGCTCTGCTGACAAACTATTACGACAAAGTACCATAAACCTTATAAAGATACATTCAAATTAGAGCTGCAATTGTCTGTCTACTTTTTTTTGCACAGTGAGAAAAACCATTTTTTGCATGAAAACAAAGTAAATCAATCTGCTATACAGAGACCGCTATACTTTACTCTATTTTCTCACTGGTTAGTTCCTTCAAAAGCTTCAATTTCATGCAATTTGTTTTTAGTCCAGATCAGGCATGCAACCATCCCAAGCTAGGGCTCGCTGATCGGCAGCGAACACGTGCAGTAGCGAACCGTTCGGCAACAAACCGTTTAGTGACCGAACATGTTCGGTAACAAACCATTCGGCGCCGATTAGCAATTCCTCGTTTGGGATTGTTGCATGCCTAATCAGCTCGTCGACTTCAGCTTTCGATTGAAGTACAAAAAGCCGGTTTGGGTCGGATTTCAGATTTCATTTGTCTACTTTCTTATAAAAAAGGCTTGGCAGGAAACAGAGAAATAAAAGAGAATATCCAGTTTTTCTGTCACCACTAGTCAGCGTCCACGCGAAATATCACAACAAATGGATCTTCTTTTGGAAATAACTCGAGATCATCTAGACCATTGGAGCTTGATTTAGCAGCCGAAGTAGAAGAAAATGTTAGGAGTAAAATGGTAAAAAGTTTATCGAAAACGGTTGCACGGTGCGGCAGATACAAGCTTAGCCGTCACTTATCTCCAAACCGTACAAACGGCTTGCAGTTCTTGCATATTTCTCGTTACAAGAATTCTGAAATACTTCAACTTTAAGTTTATTTCATGAAAAATTGTTGGAAGAAAAAGAAAAGGCAAAAATGAAGAATATGTGTGTACTTAGATAGTATTAAAAAGGTTAAGATAGCGCGCAGACTGTAAAATACTCCTTGTGTAATTTGTGATTTTTAATTTTCGTTGAGAAAATTTAGTGATTCAGCTTTACCTCAATTTTCACACGTCCCTGGACTTCTGACGAGCACTCTGTTGTGCTGAAGAAAAGAACAACAATCATATGGCAGCAGAGGTTCGCCGCCTAGTCGTAGCGTCTTAGCGGCATCTTTGCTGTTTTTGTAGCCGGCGTTGCCTGAATATAGGATAGCCTTACAATTGGTATCCAAATGTTCTTCCTTTCCTTTTGCAAAAAGCGATTATAGAAGGTGTAAGAGAATATCTGATGCTCATATTTGGAATCAGCGGTCTGAATTACCTGAGCTCTTCTTTCGGAACCGTACCACGTTCACATCGACTTTATCCCAACAATTCGATAGTAACAGGACTATAGTACAACTCGAGCTCCGGATGACGAATATCATGTTTAAAAGGTTTTAAAACAACGGCATCGCGGCCTCCTAGGCCTGCGAAGATGCCATTTTCCAGTAGAACAGACCTTTTCCGGGCATTTTTTATCGTTTTTTAGAAAAGCACTTTCATGAGCTGGTACCGTCAGATTACAATCTATATGTGCAGTGCTGCAGAATCCCTAACGAGCAAAAAGTTTTAGAACGTTAAGCATGTTCTCAGAAGAATTTTTAAAAAAATCATTTTTTCGGAAAAGTAGCCCTGTTTTGTAAACAATACTTCCTCCATAAAATCATGTCAACACATCACAACAAGATACACATTCGGCCCATCTTTTCCAGCTCTATCCGATGTATGTAGAGTAGGATCTGGAGTTATATCAGGATATCATATATGTTGGTATGTTTAATTAGCCATTTATAATAGTATTATTTTTAACTAGTTTTTGGAGAAATAGAAGTAAATCGCCTTTAGTATAAAACTTTTCGAAAATTTCAGGTATTTCAGGTTTTACGCGCAAAAGTAAGGTGGTTTTCAAGAACGGGTGTTTTTGGTTTTGAGTGTGCGTATGTGTGTTCATATTTGAAGAAAACTAATAAAATATTACATAATATTACATTTACATTAGTATGTAAACTAATATGAGCCACTCAAAAAACCATCGAACTATTTATGCACATATCCGGATCAGGCTATTTTGTATATTCGGACTGGAATTTAAAAAATAGTGATCGATAGACTTTTGAATCCAGACCAGAGCAAACATCACTACCATGAAGAGCAGTTCTTGCGGAGCGAAACCCACTGTTAAAAATACTGAAAAGAATATCTACACATGCATATTGAATGTCAGAAAACGCATTAGAACTGACCAAATCTACATCTTATGCTCTTCCTGTCCGATGGAAAGCTCTGTACCAATTTCCAGGATCTTGAAATGGATGCGACCAATTATCGTTTGGATATTTGCCTAACACTTATAATTCATATCTTATCCATCCAACGGGTGAGATATACACTTTCTTACGTCCAGGTCGATAAACTTGATGAGTCTATGGTTCTCTAGGAAAATTTTTTTCACGAGGAGCATCAAAATAGGATATATCAAACGATGGACGGTACAATAATGGATGAACTTTTGCACTTACAAATTCTTGAAGTTGTTTCTTTAAACGTCGCGCAGCGCCTTGAAGCAATTTCATCTCGTTGTATTCTAAATTCATTACAATATACACAGGGTAATCAAAAAGTTCTCGGAACTGTCCTCGACTCTCGCTGTTTGACGCAATGCAGGACTTTCTTTTTTATACTCGAGTAGCATGGACACTTAGCAGTTAAATTATATAATTTGGAGCTCATTGTCAGCTTTTGGTGGATTGTTCGCTCATTTTTTCGAATGGTGTATTTTCAGATGAATGCACCACCCATTCAATACTACATCTTACCAAGGCTCAAACTCGACTCCACAGTAGAGAAAATTCATACGGAGTTGTGTGATGGATACGGGCGAAGGTTAAGTGTCGTACAACACGGGTGTCAAAGGGGGATAAAGCTATACACATGATAAATGCTCTTTAGAGGATAAACCAAGAGTTGCCAGACCAATAACCGAAGTTACTGATGAGAAAAGTTAGTGGTTTCTGCTTTGATTGAGAAAAATCTATACCCCAGCACTCGAAATATGTTGCTTATAGATAGTCGGTTATGTACCACCACTATCTGAATTATTCATGATTGATTAAAATTGAAAAAAGTTGTGTGGAAGGTTTACACCACATAAACTAATCGAAAACCGAAGTGAGAGCAGATTGAAATTCGTCAATAACAGATACTAAGCATTCTTTAGGGAGATGGAGCGATGGTCATGCATCATCCACCTTACTTCTCTAATTCGACACGATCTGATTTTTGCTGATTCAGTTATTTGAAACGGCAAAAAGGGCTATCCCGGTTCCAAAATCCTTACTACAAGCTGTAACCAAGGAGACTTGTTTCATACAGCATGATGAGTGTCGAACAATATTTTAAAAAAGAGTAGAACGCTTAAAACTTTGCATGCTAGGTGAGGGCGGTCGCTAGAATTGCTTGAGATACTAAGCTTTCTTAAACTGCAGTTCATTCAATAAAAAATATAGATATTCCGAGAACTTTTTGACCACCCTATGTAAACCACATTAAACGTTCCAACATACATTCCTTAGGATAATACAATTTTTATCAATACCGTGTGCTTTTGATAAACGTTCAAGTAAATTTCCAATAATAGGATGAGACTGCTTTTATTTAATTTCGTCAGTTAAAATTTGAACGAGTTTCAAATCACCTTGTTTAGTTGCATCATTTTTGTTATTTTCTAATTCTTTACTACTATTTAATTTCAATACAAATGGTCTATCTCAGAGATGTAACCGGTACCGGCAACCGGCCGGTCGAGAAAAAAAATGTTTTTTGATTGAAAAATCAGTAATTTGTCGAAAACAAATGTGCTGAGCTAACGCGTAAGTAAAACAAAGCTTTTCATATTTCGGATTAAGAAAGTTAGTCTGGTTTTCTCTTTTTTGTCAACAGTCTTTGAGAGCAGGACTGGTAATCTTTACTATGTGAATATTTTCTTTCTTCATGGTTTTCTTCTTTTTTTTTTGATGTTTGTTGCCAATCTTTCTTTTATATTCTAGGGAATCTGATTCTGAACAACTTTTGCACCCACACTTTTCTTTTAGACTATTTTTTTTTCCAAGTTAAATTAAATAATCGAAAGACAGCTGCATAAAATCTCATCATGCAATTCTGACTAATTATGATTATATTCTTTTAATATTATGACTATGCTAAAGACAAGAAAGCAAAAGCTTTATATATAAGTATATTAATGAAATAGGTATTGATAGAGCCAACAATTTAGAAAACACAAGAAAGATGATTGGAACCGTCTTATGTCTACTATTAGTTGGTATGTAGTCAAACATAAAATCATTTCGTCATATACATGGTTATTTAATTAATTTTAGCATACGCTAATGCACAATCACAAACATTTTCATCAGGTAAGTAGTTGAATGAATTTTAAATTTCTAACACTTGATTTTGATTTCTACTTTTAGAGGAATGTGGTTTGAGATCAATTGTAAATAAGATTGTGGGTGGTGTAGTAGCCAAAGTCGGTGATTGGTAAGCCATCACTTCATCTCATTTCAGGCCATGGTCCGGTTCCTTGCTAGCCAATGGTCGTTATATCTGTGGTGGTTCATTGATAAAAGGAACCTGGTTTATTACAGTAGCGCATTGTTTCACTAGGTAAAAATATAGAAAATCGGGTATATTAACAGTAACAACAATTCTACTATTCTGCTTTTTTTAGTACAAATGCTGCAATCTATAGAGTTCAACTTGGCGTTCATGATCGCACAGTACCAGTAAGCCTGTTTAATGTTGTATTGGAAGAGAAAAGATAGATCTTTAATCGAAAAGATCGATGTACCAAGTTTTCTCGACTTTCACCAGAATGACAGTATTAAATTAAACGATAGCAATATTGATTGTTGAGACTAAACATCGGAGCGTTAGTATTGATCAGGATTGTTACTGAGCAATGATCTATCCAAACATTTGATTGACATTAGCTTTTACAGTGGTTTATTTTCGTGATTAAATTGTATTTGTAAATTTCATTTCTCGTTCGGAATCTTGGGTTAAAACTTACAGTGTTAAACGTGTTATTCTTCATCCATTATTTAGCAGCCTTATAAGTCAAAATGATATTGCTCGTCTAGAATTAAGTGTAAGTAACACTATACTTAAACTTGCAGATATTTCTCACCACCTTTCGACATATTCACCTTTGAACAGACCAGTGCTGAACCTTTCAATGAATATATTCTCCCTGTATGTTTTCCGCAACAAACAGATGATTTTCAACTTCAACAATCTATTGCAACTGGATGGGGTTCAACTTATTCCGGTGGATCAGTAACACGTTATCTTTATGAAGTCCAGATGCCTATATTGGATGATAACGCATGTCTAGCTAAATTTGGTGGCACAAATAACATGTTAAATCCACTCTCACAAGTATGCGCTGGACATACCGGTGAAAATAAAGACACATGTTACGGTGACTCAGGTAGACCATTAGTTAGTGAATTAAATAACAGGTGGTTTCTTGTTGGTATTACATCATGGGTACGGCCATAAAATGACTCTGAGTTAATCGCCTACTTTTTCCGCTTGTTTTTTAGGGTTATGGATGCGGGTAAGTTTGCTGTTATAGACAGTTATTCTTTCTTGACTTATGTAGTAAATGTTGTCTTATCTATAGTGATGGTGCAGTGTATACCAAAACCTCTTTCTTCCGAAAATGGGTGAAAGGTTTGACTGCTGCATTACCAGCAGGCACAAAAGCTTAAAGCAACGAAGATCATTGATGTTATGACTCCAAAAATACATCTAATTTTATTAACGTTCTTTCTTTCTACGTATCTACAGATGAAAATTGAATAAAATATGCGTATAAAGTAACTTCATGTTTACATGTTCTCCTGTATAAATAATGCTTCCAAGATATTTGCTTCCAAGTTTGAAGGAAAGTCTTATATACCATTCGATGCAGCCTTAAACAGCGAACAAACTCAATTGTTATGTGCACTACTCATATCCACGTTTTGGGAAAATTACTGTTAAACATGACCTTTTCGGCATAGTGCACGATGGTATTTCAGCTCTTTCACCATGAACGAACTCAGATTGCGGTCTATATTACATACCGAAAGAAAGCTCTTTCAAAACTCTATAAAATGGTGGGTGACTTATTTCTAGTTCTGAGTGCGAACACTCTCTATTTGGGATGTTACTACTGAAGACGGATGTTTTCAAGCATAGTGCCAGATAATGTTTCTGTGTTTTTGTCATGAAAAAACTTAGGTTGCGGTCTACATTATATATTAAAAGAAAACTCTTTCAAAACTCTAGAAATACTATGTAACTCCTTTCTAATCGATACTGTGAACACGGACGTTTTTGAATATTACTGTGAAAAAGCGGTCTTTCCAGCATAGCCAACGATAGTGTGTCTATTGCTTTTACCATGAGTGAACCTAGGCTGCGGTCTACATTATATATTAAACGACAGCGCTTCTATAACACAGCGCTCTAAATAAATGGAAGAAAAATGATGACGTATTTAAACAATTAAAAGTCGAATCTGCCGAAGAAAAGCTGAATGAAATAAATGATATTTTAACCATGGCGTGATAGGAGTATCTTAAACCAAATAAATATTTTCTAATAAAACGCTGACGTTTCCTGTTTCATCTGATACTACAACAACACGTCTATTTGTATTTACTGATGAGATTATTTTAACCGATTTAGTTTAGGTGAATATTGTTTTCTAGTCATTTTTTTGTCATACGACTCCTGAGAAATTATTATAAGATGCAACTTTTTTTCTGATTATTAGTAGAAAAGAGTTAGCTTTGTAAAATAAGTTGAAACCAAATACATGATTAAAGAACAAAATATTGCCCACAACGAGAATATCAAGTGTATGTATTTGTGTAAAGTATTTGCATATTCTTGAAAGAGAAAAAGAGAACCCATAAATAACATCTCACACCCCTATGTTCATTTTCTCTTAAGTTATAGTTTAAGTTACAGCAAGTAAGCAGTGGAATATCGCACGGGAATCAGAGTTTCAACTTATTTTTAAATAGGATATCTTTGACTGCAATGACACAGATAATAACTCGTCAACCAAAATATTTGGAAAGTATGTTTTCTACAATTCCCAACGAAGACGTATTTCGTGTGTACAGAAAAAGACACGGTTGTTGTGGTATGGGTGGGACTGATACTACAACCGTCACTAATGCCAGACTACTAAAAAGATTTGAAGAGTGGCGATGTTGTGGTCGCGGAACATCCGAAGATACTATGATATTTTTAAAAGATATTCAGCTATTATCACAGGTTAATCCACGACGACGCTGTAATTTGTCTTCTTGGCTGTTAGCATGTTTCACATGTACATGGCCATGTTATTTGTGCTGTGTTATGTGCTGTCGACGAAGAACAAGAGTCATCGAAGTTCGAGGCGCGTTTGGTACCGAGGAATTTTTGATACCTTACGTAGATGTTCGTGATGCTTGTGCACAAATACCAGCTGCTGCGGCGTTCAGCTACAAAGCACGAAATTACATATAACGATTTTAACGAAATTTTGGTACTTGTGCCACTCGGACAAAAGTCGAAAGCTCTAATTTTTCGAAAAACCAGCAGCAGTTTGGTTATTTTCATAAACCATTTTTATTATCGACTTTGTCAGAAAAGTTTCTTCTGGTTTTGATAAAATCATTGCGATAGTTGATTGTTTATTAGATAGAAACTTACTTAAGGGGGGGACTTACTCCCCACCCGTTTTTTTCCGGCAGTTTGTGGAGGACACTTCGAAGTATACGTCTCAACAAAGCTTTCAGTTCCCGGATTTATAGTTTTTGATAAAACAAATTTTTAAGTTTTTTTTCAGGTTTTTTGTCCTATTTTTAAAATTTCAATAAAAACCTCATTTTTTGATATGAAGAGGTGATTCTAGCGTAGTTCGATAGAGAACATTAATTTGCAGAGTTATAGAACTTACAGGAAAAGCCCTTAATTAGTTTTTTTCTTAGGCTGACAATGAACATTTAGGCCTTTTCTTGTAAATTCTGTAACTTTGTAAAGAAAGGCTGTAGAGATTGGAGATGTCTCATTTTAATCAGAAATTTGCGGGCTACAATCATGCATCATTAAGAAACGTTTTGGTTATCTTTTAGAGTTTTTGAAAAACTGATTTTCTAGAAAACGGGTCTCTTAAGGTCTATGCGCAGCTGACATGGTGCAATTCGGAATTCGCACAGTCGATAACCTATGACGCACTTGGTTTCATTCAAAAAACGAGGGGACAGTTGCAAAGATACCCTCGTAAGGGTCTTTTTGTACATTACACCACATATTTCTATTAGCAAAAAGCTTGTCCAACAAGCGTTGGGTGATGCTCTGACAGTATTTTTTTCTTAAAAAGTATTGTTTGATCATTTAATCTGTTCTGGTCGCTAGAATATTCATTGTAGATTATAAACAATAGGAATGCTAATGTTTCATGAAAACGTTCTTTTCCCTTCGTTCATTCTTATCGAATCCGTGACAGAGATGTTAGCTAGCGGCTCTGGGCATTTATTAGCCGTTTGTTTTAGATATATAGTCAGAATCGTCCGGTGACTGTTTCGAATCTTTTTCTCATTAAATTACTAATATGAGCATAGAAAACGATGAGAATCTTAATGACGAATTGATAATAGAATCCATTTAGCTCGCTCTTTATAGACGTGTTGATGATCAGCCAACATTAATTTGATGTTACGGAAACACAGATCCAATAAATTCTACCTAATCAGTCATTAGGGTTCCGAATCATATCTCAGTATGTGCCTTGCAGTAAGACTGAAACGATCTAGGTAAAGTTATCGACATATTCGTGTTTTTCCATCCCATATTCGTTTGATGATCTGTGCCAATTCGCTTTTTTGTTGTGCCAAAGAGCTCTATTAGAAAACATATAATTTATGGCACTTCATTATTCTAAA